CCACCCTACACCTACTGGGTCCAGTGGTCAAGAGGAGACAGCCTACAAGGGAACCAAAGCACGTCAGATACCTGGGTCACAGTGGATGAGCTGGAGCCTGGGACCTTGTACAGTTTCGCTGTCTGGGTTCAGAGAAACAACGTCAACAGTGTCAAAGTGACAACTGTTGAGTCTACAGGTGAGGCACCCTTACGTCTTTCTGAAAGCATCTCCGGGGTGGTGAAAAGGAGGTAACTGAAGTCTTGTGATTGTCGTCGGAAAAGAAGGTCCAGGCATCACTAAAGTTCAGAGTTCTAGTGTTTTTTCCGAGTATGTTTCTCTTTAGATTCCAAGATTATATAGGAAAAGGTATTTAAAACCAAAATGAAGGCGAGCTCTGGTGGCCTAGTGGCAAGAAGCTGCACTGTAATCCCAGAGGTGTGCAGTTCAAATCCACCAGATGCTCTGCTGGAGAAGAAGGAACAATCTCCTCCTGTACCAGTCAGATCTAATTTGATGGTACACACACAAAAAAAATAAAATAAAATAAAATAAAACAAAAACAAAAAAAAAACACAAACAAACCAAAATGAAGTGAGGGGAGGGGACAGGAGGGGGAGGGGGTAAAAAGGTGCAACAACGAATAAGTGAAAATCTCACTTTTCTGTAAACTTTTGTTAAAATCACAATTAAAATAAAAAATTTTATATAAAAACAGAAAAAAAGGAAATCTCCCCTTTGTACCAGATGCTTGAAGACTGGGTGACTTGGAAACCCTGACTTTCTGCCCCTTCTACCAGTACCCAACGCAGTTCCAAGACTTGAAGTGCAGGACCGCAATACCACCGCCATCACTTTGGCGTGGGCAGCTCCCCAGGGCCCAGAAGAGCCACCCTACACCTACTGGGTCCAGTGGTCAAGAGGAGACAGCCTGCAAGGGAACCAGAGCACCTCAGATACCTGGGTCACAGTGAAGGAGCTGGAGCCTGGGACCTTGTACAGTTTCGCTGTCTGGGTTTGGAGGAATGACGTCAATAGCACCAGTGTGGCCATTGATACGTCTACAGGTGAGGCATCCCTAAGCCTTTCACAAAGCATTTGGGGTGAGCAAAAGAAAATCATTAGAATTTTGACATAGTCCCTGAAAAAGTAGACAAGTCCCAGATAGAAAGGTCTCATTGGTAGGAGTGTTTCCTGTTTAGATATCAGGACTGTAGAGAAGAAAGGGCATCACTCCTTCCCTCTGGAAGTTCAGAGATTGGGAACATGGAACCCTGACTTTCTGCCCCTTCTACCAGTCCCCAACACAGTTCCAAGTCTTGAAGTGCAGGATCGCAACACCACCTCCATCACCTTGGCGTGGACAGCTCCCCAGGGCCCAGAACAGCCACCCTACACCTACGAGGTCCAGTGGTCAAAGAAAGAAGACAGCCAACAGCATAGAGAAGGAACCTCAGATACCATAATCGTGATCAAGGAGCTGCACTCTGGGACTTTGTACTTCTTCACTGTGTGCGCTCAAAGGAATGGAGTCAGGAGTGACGCCAGGGATCTCACGGAAGCCACCGGTGAGACCCAGTCCAGTGACGGACTCCACTCTAGAATCATGGGGCGAAGGAAGGAGAAAGGATGGGAGCCTTTGGGGGCCTTCGGGGAAACCAGCTGGTTTCTCATGTTCTGGGGAATTTACCCAACCTCGCTGAGCTTCAGGGTTCTTGGCCAATTGTTAGGGAGTGTCTTTCCTCAGAAATCAAGATTTTAAAAAAAAATGGACCCATCTCCCCTTTCCTTGAGAAAAGGTAGCTCTGAAGTTGAGGGCATTCCCTGACTGTCAAGCATCCCCTGTCAAGATGCAGTGACATCATCAGCTGGACAAGAGACCACCTCTTCTCATTCCCAGATCAGTGTTCTGGGAATCAGTGGGGTCAGGGAATCAAGACCACCCTGTTGACTAACTTCATGTGGAGGTTGGAAGCTTGAAGATAAATGTCAGTAACTTCATCTTGAAACATGATGTGCTTGAAAGTTAGAAAGGTCCCAACCTTGGCTGCCCAGAGAAAAATGAAAAAGGGGTCCCAGGGCTGGAGCTGGGGATGAGAAGCCTGAGGCTTTGTGGTCCAGACAAACCTCGGGTAGCACAACCCCCCCTTTGAGATTAGAGGTGTAGGTTGGCTGAGTATTCTCGGGCCTTGTTTGATGGCGGAGGTGGGCTGAGGTGTGGGGGTCGCTGAAGATCCACCTTTGTTAAATCTCTAATCTTCACCTCTCAGTCCCCAATGAAGTCACTGAGCTGCAGAACACAAGTCAGACCAACAGCTCAGTCACCTTGCACTGGAAGCCCCCAGCGGACCCCTACCCTCAGTCCTATGTATACTGGGTCCAGTGGGCCAGTGGAGGACAGTCACAGAGGGCGACCCACCCCCAAGGAGATGAGATCAACCAGACAGTCAAGACCAATGAGACTCAGTGTGTGGTGAAAGCCCTCTTACCTGGGACTCTGTACGACTTCACGGTGTGGGCAGAGATGAACAACGTATCCAGTTCCACACAGAGCCTCCGTGCATCCACAGGTGAGATGGGGATGGATCTGATCCACGCCGCCGGCTTGCCTGGGCTTTCTTGGGTCAGATGTGGGAGAAGTCGAGTGAACGAACTACAAATCCCATCAGGCCAAGGAGCAATGGCCTGAGAGTCTATAACGGGACAGAGTCCAAGGACTTATGGGTATTGTAGTTTGACAGTTTTTCCAACGCTGAGGGAAGATTAGAAAATAAAAGAAGTTACCAGGGGGTTTTGATCTTTGAGGGAGCACAGGATTTGTGTTGTTCTCAGACAACTGGCATGACAGGTAACAAGTGGGAGGTCACATTAAGTAGCCCCTCACTGACACTTGGTCCTCCTCTCACCCAGTTCCTGACCCAGTCACCATCACCTCCTGTGTCAGCATCTCGAGTGGTTACGGAGTCTCTCTGACCTGGTCCTGCCCCTTGGGAGGATATGAGGCCTTCAAGTTGGAGGTGGACGGACAGCAGGTTGTCCAGGACAAGTCTTCCTGTGGGAAGGACATCCCTTTGTCGGGGCTCCAGCCGGCTCGGTCCTACCTGGCCACTGTCACAACCATGTGGGAAGGAATGAGTGCACCTGCTGCCTCTGTGACCTGCCATACTGAGAGCGCAGGTGAGCAGAACCACAGGAGGTGATGCGGGAGAGAGGCCACCTTGGTCCTACCAAGCTGTGATGGGGTCTCGCCTTAGCCATGGGTTTCTGAACGCTTAGCTTTGGTTTCTTCTATATTTGTTGTTCTTACGTGCCATCAAGTAGCCTGCGACTCATACAATCCTATGTACAACAGCCCTGAACCCTGCTCTATCTTGTGCCAATCTTACTGTCTCTGACACACCTATCCCCACTACCCAGTCACTGAATCAATCCATCTCATCAAGGATCTTCCTCTCTTCCTCCACCCTCCCAAGCATGATGTCCCTCTCCAAGGACTGGTCCCTCCTTGCAACATGTCCAAAGTATGTCAGACGAAGCTTCAGAATCCTTGCCTCCAAGGAGCAGCCTGGTTTAACCCTCTCTAGGACGAACTTGTTTGTTCTCTTTGCAGTTCTTGGTATGCTGAATACTTTTCTCCAGCACCACAGCTCAAAGGCATCAATTCTCCTTCTATCATCCCCAGTCATTGTCCAGCTCTCTGATGCACAGCAAGTAACTGCATAGACCATGGCATATATCAGGTGCACCTTAGTCTCCAGGCTGACATCGTTGCTCTTCAGTACTTTGGAGAGAACTCTAACAGCAGACTTTCCCAAGGCAATTTGTCTTTTCATTTCCTGGCTGCTGGTGCCAAGAGTGTTGATGTGGAGCCAAGCAAATGAAAGCTTGATAGAATTCACATATCACACAATTCACTCATCAAAAGTGGACCACTCAGTGGTTTTTCGTATTCCCAGAGGGTTGAGGAACCGTCGCCACATCTGCTCTGTAACATCCTCATCATCCTCCATGTGGTCCTTTGTATCTTACGTCTCGTGTTTAGCATATTCTTTTCAAGGATCATACACGTTGTCACACGAACCATCACTTCATTGTTTCTCATGGCTGAATCACATTCCCTTGTATGATTGACAGCTAGTCTTCCATTTAGGTTCTGATGATGCCCTTGTAAGTCAATTCTAGGTAAATAGAGCCTCACTCTCTTTTTAAGTTTCCTTACGCTTGCTTTTTTATTATCCATATCTTTATAAAGCCAATTTTATTTGTGTTTTGAGGGCTGAAAGCATCTGCAAGTGAACTTTGACAGTGAAAACATCAGCAAATTATGCACTGCAGTATTGCATGTGAAACATGAAATAGACATACAAAATACCCTATAGGCCATCTCATACTTGGTTTATCCATTCACCAGTTGGTAGATACTTGGGTTCTATCCAGCTTTTGGCTCTTACGAATAAGGCTTCTAGGGGAGCTCTGGTGGCCTAGTGGCAAGAAGCTGCAACTACAGTCCCAGAGGCACGCGGTTCGAATCCACCAGATGCTCTGTCGGGGAAGGAGGGGCCATCTCCTCCTGTACCAGTCAGATCTGATTGGACGGTACACGCACACACAAATAAAAAAAAAAAAAAGAATAAGGCTTCTGGGAACATTTAGGTGCAGGTTTGTCCCATTCTCTTGTCTCTAAACCTTGGAGTGGAACTTCCATGAATCGTGTTCCAAAGTGGTTACTCCATATAACATGTAGTAATGGGACACCTGAAGAAGTCTTAATCCCACATGCAGGAAGATTCTGACCATGGTCACAGACCGTACTGGGCCCCTGTCCTTGGGACAGTCACTTATATGCTAGGAAGTAGAGCCTCTTTTAAGATTAAGTCTTCAATATGGAACAGTTAATTTGAGCATAAGTAATGGAATGCCTCCATAAACAGTACCTCTTTTGCTCTGAGAACAGAAGAAATAGATGGTGCCCGGCTACTGTTACTGAGTGTTTGGTCAAAGGGTCAATAGACTCACTAATCAAAAGAAAAAAAACGCAAGACAAAATTTCAAATGCTCAAGAAAATTCAGACTTTTTTTTTAGCAGATAGAGGTTTGAGGAATCCCCAAAAATATTTCCCTGAGATGCTTTTTTAAATTAAAAAATACACCCGAAAGTCTTCTTGAAGCCAAGCTAGAGTTTTGGTTAATTCATAAAGAAAGCCTGCATTTATTATTGTGCTCTTCTAAGAACCATCTGTATGTGATTAAATTGAAAACTGCAACTCAAAAGATTACATGGGGAAACTCAGGGGGCATTGAGCTTGGAAAAAGGAAGGGGAGATGGTTGTACAATTCAAAGAATGTAATCAATGTCACTGAACTGTATGAGTAGAAATTTTGAAATTAGTATATATTCTGCTGCTGCTGCTGTTGCTGTTATGTGTTGTCGAGTCGCCTGCGACTCAGAGCGACCCTCTGTACAACAGCCCTAAACTTTGCCCTACCCTGTGCCAATCTCACCATCTCCAACACACCTACTCTCATTACCCCAGTCACTGAATCAATCCATCTCATCGAGGGTCTTCCTCTCTTGAGCCGTCCCTCCATCCTCCCAAGCATGACATCCCTCTCCAAGGACCGGTCCCTCCTTGCAACATGTCCAAAGTATGTCAGACAAAGCCTCAGAGTCCTTGCCTCCAAGGAGCAGCCTGGCTTCAACCTCTCCAGGATGAACCTGTTTGTTCTCTTGGCAGTCCATGGTACCCTCAATACTCTTCTCCAGCATCACAGCTCAAAGGCATCAATTCTCCTTCTATCATCTCTAGTCATTGTCCAGCTCTCTGATGCATAGCAAGTGATTGCAAAGACCATGGCCTGTATCAGGCACACCTTAGTTTCCAGACTGACATCTTTGCACTTCAGCACTTTAGAGAGGTCTGTAACCACAGACTTTCCCATCGCAATACATCTTTTAATTTCCTGGCTGCTGGTGCCAAGAGGGTTTGTTGACTGTGGATCCAAGCAAACCAAAACGGTGAACAATCTTAATCTCTTCACCATCCATTATGACGCTGTCAATCGGCCCAGTGGTGAGAAGCTTTGTTTTCTTGATAGTCTGCTGTACATGTTCCTAATAACAGCACTACTATTTAAGTTTATTTATACACTAACATTTGCTGTGTAGCTAATTTTAAGTGACATTAGTTATAGTCACAATGCTATACAAGCTTTTCTTTATTTACTTTCACACTTCTTATTGCTCCACACAGAAACTCTAAACCGACCGGGTAATAACTTCCCTGCCTCCTCTTCTCTGTAACTCTTGGTAATCTCACATCTACTTTCTGTTTCTAACTTGTAATTTTGTCCAAGTGGAGTTATATAATATTTGTCTTTTTTTTTTCGGTCCGGCTTATTTCACGTAGAATCATGTTCTCAAGGTTCTCCATGTTATAGCCAAAATCAGAACTTCCCTTCTGCTTATGACTGAATGAGACCCTGCCCCACTTGGTTCTTCTGAGGATGGACTCTGGCGTTGCTTCTGTCTTTGATGGTGGGGACTTTGCCTTGCCCTTCAGGCTGCTCATGGTCCTGGGTGAGGGTGAAGGTAGGAGAGCAGAAGGCAGGCCTGGGCTCTAACGGCTCCAATGCGCCTGCCCTCAGGAGTCATTGCTGGTGCCGTGGTGGGCGTCCTTCTGCTTCTCGTCCTGGTGGGCCTGCTGGTTTTCTTCTTGAGGAAGAGGTGAGACGCAGGGCAAGACCGACCACCCTGGGAGGATGAGGAGAGTGAAGACCCTTGGTTCCCCATCTCTCTCTCTCTCTCTCTCATGTGTCTCTCACCTCGTTATCCTTTTCCCAGGAAAGAGAAGAACCAGGAGAAAGCAGCATTGTGGGATCTGGCCTTCAGGTGAGCACACGGTTTGGAGAAGTGTGTTACATTCCAGGAAGGGCAGACAGAGTTCAGAGTTAGCCTCTCCTTAAACTGTTGGTGGCTCCAATCCACTGAGAGGTTCTTTGGAAAGAAAGCCATTGAAAACCAGTGGAGGAGAGCTCCCGCCCCTCCCGATGCACATGGGTCACCGGAGCTGGAGCTAATTGGATGGTGTTCGTTTGGGTTTTGGTTTTCCTTCGATTCCTAGGCCTGCTAGGAAATACCATCAACTGTGTGGCTTAACACAACAGAAGTGGATGGTGTCAAAGTTCTGGGGTTTGGATGGACAAAGCCTGGTGTTGGCCATGTTGTTCTGAAGGTGGCTCTGAGGGAGATTCTACCTGCCTCTGGTTTTTGGAGGTCCCTGACTTGCAGCCAAGGTGGTGTCAGACGGATGTCTCTCCTCTTTCTCTCTCTCGGTTGTTGTTAAGTGCCATGAGTTGGTTTTAGAGGCCACCCTCCCTCTGAAAACTCGCTGGAGGGTCACCTCTGAGCTGGTTCTGACCTGACCGCACAAAGCCACCACAATAACACGTACAGCAGAAGGAAATACTACCCGCCCCATCCTCAAAATCTCTGCTGTGTCTGAGCTCGTGGTACGGAGTTGTGCTCCCAGCCCAAGGGCATGGTGGAGAGGCCATGAATCCACCAGCTTGTCCTCAAAAGAATAGACAATCTCCCCTCAGTGATTTACAGCCTCTGAAAATCCACTGGAGGGTCAGCTATGAGTCACTTCTGACTCCATGGTAAATAACAACAACAAGTCATGTGGGAAGGACTCTGGTGGCCTAGCTCACAGGGAGCTGTGCTGTCATGTGTCTCGGGTGATTTGAGTCCACCAACAGCATCAAGGAAGAAGTTAGAGCAATAATGGCCCATGCTGTTTACCGCCTCAGAATCTCAGCAGAGGGTCTGCTAGGAATCAGCTCCCAGTTAACGGTGAGGAGTTTGAGGGGGTCACAGCGGATTGGCATACATGGAGCGGCAAACGTTTCAGTGTTTAACTTCCAGTCAAGAGTTTGGCAGTTGGAATCCATCAAGAGGTATCTCTGAAGGAATCTTTGGCGATCAGCTTTCTTTTTTTTTTTTAAATTGTATTATTTGACGTGTACTGTCAAATCAGATCTGACTGGTACAGGAGGAGATTGCCCCCTCCTTCTCCAGCAGAGCATCTGGTGGATTTGAACTGCGGGCGATCAGCTTTCTAAAGGTGACAGCCAGGGAAAGATCTAGAGAGCACAGTTCTGTTCTGATACCCAGGGGGTCGCCGCGAGGCAGAGTGGACATGAAAGTAGGGGCTTGGCTTCAGTGTGTGTTCGATTCCTAGGACTGCCGAAGGAAGACCAAAGAAGAATTGATGCCTTTGAGTTGGGGTGTTGCCAAAGAGTCCAGAATATTCCATGGCTACCCAAAGAACAAATGGCCTTGGACGAATTGCAAACAGGGCGCTCCTTCCAGGCAAAGAAGTGACACTTTATCTCACATACTTTGGGCATATTCTCAGGAAAGAGAGGTCCTTGGAAGAAAGTATCAGGCTTGAAGAGGTAGAGTGTCAGTGAAAGAGAGGAAGATCTTTGACAAGGTGGGTTGGCACTGTGGATGCAACAGTGAGCTTGAACATGGCAGACGTTGTGAGGATGGCGCAGGACAGGACTAGCTTTTGATCTGGTGTTCAGAGAATCACTATGAGTCATAGGTGACATGACAGCACAGAGTAATGACAGGGCTACTGTAACAGAGTGCCAGTGTCCGGAATAACAGCACAGAAGATGCTACAGTTCCTACTCCAGTGTGACCTCGTGTTAGCTTAAGTGTTAGCATCTTCAGCAACAGAAGAGATGGAAGAATTCATGGTGGGCAGCTCCCAAGAAGCTGGGCAGGCCCTGCAGCCGGAACCCAAGGGAAAGCAAGTGGGTTTTAAAGAGGAGAAGAGATGCTGTTTCTTTGTCCTAAGAATGCAAACGTTTGAAACCTTTCTGTACCACTCTTTTCCCCTGCAGTTTCCCAGAAGACATCTCGGCTGAGGATTTTGCCGATCACGTCAGGAGGAATGAGAAAGACAGCCATTGTGGATTCGCAGAGGAATACCAGGTAGAGAAAGAGCAGGGCTTCACGACGCCCAAACCCAACCCTCGATCTTCCCACAGGTATCAAGATGGAACAGACGTGTTGTTGTTTGGTGACGGTGAAGAGTGTCGCGAGTCACAGTGGCCCTGCCCTATGCCAGCCTCACGGCCTCTGTCCTCCTGGAGCCCCCTGCTGCGGACCTTGTGCCAGTCCATCTCGTGTGTGGTCTTCCTGTCCTTGCTGATCCTCTGCTCTGCTAAGCATGAGGTCTTTCTCTAGGAACTGACCCCTCCTGATAACATGTCCAAAGTCTATGAGATCAGGTCTCTCTGTTCTTGCTTCTTAGAAGCCTTCTGGCTGCATTTTTTTCCAAGACAGTGAACTAACAGAGCCACACATGTTTTGTGAGATTAAAAAGAAAATTTCAGGCATGATTATATATCTTTCTAACTCACTGGAATCTTTAAAAAGTGACAGGAATTTGAGGCAATCCTAAAGAAACTCCCTAGATCACCTAATTTTCCCCCAACCACTTCTTTCTCATCTACCTTTCTAGTACACTTATCTTTCCCAAAATTCTTTTTTTAAAAAATTTATTATTAATTTCAGTCAAAATTTACAGAGACTTTGGATTTCCATTCATTCATTGTTGCACTTTTCTCCCCTCCCAGCCCTCCCCCCCCCCCAGTACATTACCCTCTTGTAAAAGTAAAACAAAAATTCTTTCATTATTTTACAAACTCTCCCCCAGGTCCATTCCACCATGTAGCCTTCGCTCTAGACTCCTGTCATGACAAAAATATCTAATCACATATCCCTTTTAAACAGTTTTCTCCCTCATCTGTTTCAATGCAGTATATTGAACCCATCTTTCTCACTCTCCCACCAACTCCGATGTCAGTCCTGTTTTACAGCAGTGGCACCACGCAGTATTTGTCCTTCTGTGACTATGATACTTCACTCAGCATAATGTCCTCCAGGGTCACCCATTTTTAATAATATTGCATGAGTTCCTTGTTTTTCAATACAGGGTAGTATTCCATTGTGTGAGTATACCATAACTTTTCTATCCATTTGGTTTTTGATGGGCACTTGGGTTGTTTCCAACTCTTTGCTATTGTGAACAAAGCCACGATAAACATGGATGTGCATATATCTGCCTGGGTGACAGTTATGGTCTCTTTGGGGTATATTCCCAGTAGTGGGATTGCTGGGTCAAGCGGTATTTCTATTTGTAACTCTTTGAGAAAGCACCATACCGCCTTCCACAGTGGTTGCACCATTTTACACTCCCACCAAGAGTGAATAAGGGTTCCAGTTTCTCCACAACCTCGCCAGCATTTGTTGCTTGCTCAAAATCCTTTCTAATAACTTGCACATGTGGTAGAAGACATCAATTCTTTTTTGTGTGTGTACTTATTGTAAAAACCCATTATGCGGGGATTAGACGTGGCCTGCAGCAGGCGAGCAGAGCTCTAGCGGTGTTCTTGGTGGAAGGCAGAGAATCTCCAGCCTCACTGCACCCCTCTCCCACTCCTAGCAACTAACCCTGGAAGGACACAATCAGCCCCAGACGGTGGCCTCGGCTCCTGAGAACAACGCCAAGAATCGCTACAGAAACGTGCTACCCTGTGAGTTTTTGGGCCCCAGGGTAGCACACGCTGTCTGCACTTCACTGCTAACTTGGAATGTTGATAGATTGGACTCATTTGTTAAGTGCCATGGAAGAAAGGCCTGGTGCTCTTCTGTAAAGATCAGAGTCAAGAAAACCCCGTGGAGCTAATTTATATTCAGCAACACGTGGGGGTCTCTATGAGTCAGAACTGATTCAATGGCAGTGGGTTTGGTTTTGGGGTTTTGCCAAGTCCTAAGTTCCCCCTGACTTGTTCTTAGCCCTTGTCTTGTCCACACCCTGTCACTGGTCTTCATTTCTATCCTATTTCCATGGCCCCTTAATTTGTGGAAGAGGTAAAAATCTCCCTCTGATTGATTCCTTTGAGAAGCCCACTCACACCAGGAGAGGTTCCTCTTTTCCCCATCAATCCCCATGTTCTCCATGTCTGTCTACACCTCTGCACACTTTGACCCTGGGTCTTAACCCCAGTCTCTCCAACTCCCTAGTCTCTCTGCTCCATTTCTGCTTCATTAATACTTCCCCTTTCCCCTAGATGACTGGTCTCGGGTGCCCCTGAAGTCCCTCCAAGGAGAGCCGGGCTCTGACTACATCAACGCTAGCTTCATTCCCGTAAGGATGTGTGGCTGGGAGCTGGGACCAGAAGGGTGCTGCCTGGGTTCTCTAGTGAAGCAAAATCAGTGACAGGCAGATAAATGAAAGGAAGGAAGAAAAAGAGAGAGAGAGATGATAGAGAGGTAAATGATTTATAGATAGATGATAAGTAAACATGATAGATATGGTAGATAAAGTTAGATGTAGAGAGATAGGCAGATGATTTACAGATAGATGATAAGCATGATAGAAGAAGAGAGAAAGCTGATAGATAGATGTTATAGAGAGAAAGAGATTAAAAAGTAGATCAATGAATTACAAATAAAGAGATTTCTTATAAAGAAATGGTATTAGATAATTGTGAGAGATGGCGAGTTCATAATCTGTTGATGAGGCAGCAGACAGGAGACCTCTGCACTTACATCTTAAGTTCTGTAAGTCAGGGGTTAAGAAGAGTGCAAAGTGCAGGAGAAAGGGAGAGGGAGAGAAAGAGAGGAAAAGAGCTCTGGCAGATCATCCGTTTATATAGTATAGATAGGCCACACCTCCAAGGAAACTCCTTATTTACTGATTGGTTCACAACCTCAGATGTATCACGGTAGGGATTCCACTAAGTTATGTTACATTATGTAACATTATGTTACGTTTTAGTACTTATTGGAACAGCAAGCAGCCCCAACCTCTGCCAACCCCTGAGAATCAAGGCCTAGCCAAGCTGACTTGTAAAATTAACCAACACTGGTGTTGAAAACACTTTCAGACATGCCTCATGAGGCCACCCACAGCACACCCTCACCTGCCTGCCTGCTTTTCTCCATCAGGGTCTGTGGAACCCCCAGGAGTTCATCGCAGCCCAGGGTCCCCTGCCCCAGACGGTGGGCGACTTCTGGCGTCTGGTATGGGAACAACAGAGCCACACCCTGGTCATGTTGACCAACTGCATGGAGTCTGGCCGGGTGAGAGTGGGCCTGCTTTTCTCAGTTCTCTGATGCTTCTCTAACAGAAATATCGCTCAGCGGGTAGCTTTAGTCAACACATTTATTTCCTCACCATCTGTTGTTGCTGTTTTGTGCTGCTCGGTCAGAAGTGACCCATAGCTGATCCCCCAGCATATTTTCAGAGGCACTAAACCACATGGGAGGAGATCGCCCATTTTCTCCTGCAGAGCAGCTGATGGATTCAAATCATGCACCTTTGGGTTGGCAGTGTAACTCCTTAGCACTGAGCCACCAGAGCTCGGGAGGCTAGAAATCCAAGTTTAGGCCCCTGAACTTTAGGAGAAAGCTTTCTCTGTCTGTCATCTCTGGAAAAACCCTTCCCCCCCCCCCGCCACCTTTTCCCCATTGCCTCTTTGGTGATCTTCAGATGGTATCTGTCTTTCCTCATCTTTGATTTCTTTCTTTCTTGTTTAGTCTCTTTCATATCTTAGAAGAGATTTGTTGTCGGCTGAGGGAAAAGACAGAGACAGGGACACTCAGGAATGGAGATCAAGCCAGAAAGCGTGAAGGCAGGGGGCTAACAGCTGGGAGAACTGCACCCCCTATGCTAGGCCTTTCTGTGGTTTTACTGAGAATCACCAGGAAGTAAACAAAGGAAAATCACAAGAGAGTAGTAGACAACAACAAAGGATCATGGGGAAGTAAATAATAAAGAAAAAATCTTTCTGTAAATAAGGCCAAATTCTTCTCTATTGTTTACCTTTTGCTTCTCTCATGAGGGAGGGATTTAGTAAATACGAACTAAGAACTATGTAGCCACTTAAGAATTGCCTTAATACCTACCCCTGCAAACATTTAAGGATTGTCTTATTGCTACAGGGTGGATTCCAGCTTCTACCAGCCTCCTTCTTGTCTTGATAGAGCATTTGGTTTATTATTAATAATATTAAACTTTATATTCAGCTTCCCACAGAGATTGACTCAAGATGCACCCTATAACTGATCTGATAGATTCATGGAACCTCTGAGACAGTGTCCTTAGATACGTTTCAAGGCTAGAAATAAACTCACCCTTAAGGATCAACTCTCAGCCAAACACTAGACAGGTCTGTGAAGCGAACAGTAACTCGGGGGAGGCAGGGGAATGTACTCCTCAGAATAATCAGCTGCAAGCAATCAAAAGTGTGCTCCCAAACAAAACTCGGTAGGCAGGAAGGGGGCAGGAAAGAAGGACAAATGGGACCAGGGAATCCAGGTAGGAAGCAGGAAGAGTACTATTGCATTAAGGAGATCACATCAACTGTCATGAAACAGAGTGTGTACAAATTGTTGAATAGAAAGTTAATTTGCAGGGAGCTCTGGTGGCCTAGTGGCAAGAAGCTGCACTGCAATCCCGGAGGTATGTGATTTGAATCCACCAGATGCTCTGCTGGAGAAGGAGGGGCAATTTCCTCCTGTACCAGTCAGATCTGATTTGATGCTACACACACACACACACACACACACACACAAATAAAATAAAAAATAAAAAAAAAGTTAATTTGCTCATAAACTTTCACTCAAACTACAAAAAAGAGAGAGTCGTTTAAGGGAGAAAAAAGATGCAATCTACAAAAATACCACCTTAAGAGGATAAACATCTATTCCCAAATGGGATTACACGCACAGATAATTTGGGGTAGGATTTACAACACTTATTTTAGGGGCACACAATTCAATCCATAACTACCTACGTTTTGGTGCTGACCTCCTGAATTCAGACCTCAAATCTGGGTCTTTTTCTGTCTCCCAACATAAACTCCGTCATCCATCCTTTGACCCTCCACTGGTCCATGTGTGGGTGAGAAAAAAAAAAGAGCTTAGGGAGTGTCTTCAATTTCCAGCGCTTCTATAAAGAAGTACCTCAAGTTCTCGTTATTAGGTGCTGTCGAGTCAAGCACAACTCAGAGCCACCCTGTGAACAAGAGATCGAACCCTTGCCCTATCCTGTCTGTTTTCACAATATACGCCACGTTCAAGCTCACTATCGCAGTGACTATAACAGTCCATCTTGTTGACGTGCTTCCTCTTTTTTGCTGACTCTCTTCTTTACCCAGAATGATGTCTTGGTAGCTTTAGAAAATATACATTTATTTTTTTTAATTTAAAAAGCTAAAAGCTCAAATTCTATGAAGCCAGCTCTCTCTCTGTATCTTAGTTACCTAGTGCAGTGATAATAGAGATATTACACGTGGGTGGCTTTAACAAACAAGTGTACTTTTTTTTAAAAAAATTTTTGATTATTGTTGTTAGGTGGTGTCAAGTCAACTACCACCCATAGCAGCCTATGAATTGTTGTTTTGTTAGGTGTCACCAAGTAGTGTATGATCCATGGTGACCCTGTGAACTGCTGACCTAAACCGTGCCCTATCTTGAGCCATCCTTATCATCTCTGGTACACTTGAGAGCCCATTGTGGAACCTCTCTCATTGAAGACCAGTCTGTCTCATTGAAGATCTTCCTCTCCTTCTCTGAACCTCCGTCTTTCCAAGTATGATGTCCCTTTATGATACAGAATTCTGTGCATACCAGGAAGCAAGATTTCTCTTGGCTGTGATAATCTATACCTGGCTACCCACAGGTATGGCCTTATTGCTAGGAAATGAGGATTATTTTATTATTTTGCTTGGCCTTGGGTTGAAGGCAGCAGCGGCTTCAAGCCCAAAAGGGCCCTTGGGCCTGCAGCCCTCGGGCCAGTCTTTCATTGTTTTTGTTTAGACATTCCTCTAGGTCGTATAACCCTGGTGTACAAGTTGCTGTTCCGCGGTCACTTGTGGTTGCTGTGACGCTGAACACTGTGACACGGATGTGTCAAATGCATTAATGGTTGGCTACCCAATGCGCACTGAGAGTGGGGTGGAGCTCCCTGATTAAAACAAGCGTGGAAGAAGGAGTGGCATCCACTTTAATAATAGCTTGCCTCCGGAAACCCTATGAGCCTGGAGAGAGGATGAAAGGCACCCAAGTGTTGAGGACTCTCCTTCATAGGGTCGCTATGAGTCGCCTGTGACTCGACGGCACTTAACAACAACAACAACAACAACGTGTACCATCAAATTGGATATGACTGGTACAGGAGGAGATTGTCCCTCCTTCTCCAGCAGAGCATCTGGTGGATTAAAACTGCGTATCTCTAAGATTGCAGTGAGCTTCTTGGAAAGGGAAACTTTTTAAACATAAGGGCCACAAAGACCTGGGACACGCGGCTTTATCTCGTTGAAAATTCCACTTTCTCACATACAATGGACATGCTAACAGTCACTATTCCTTAACGCGGCAGATCCGTGAAAATAGTTCCTCTGGGCCTCCTGGTGCCTGACCCTCCCACTTCTGTGCTCTGTCCAGGTGAAGTGTGAACATTACTGGCCACTAGATTCTCAGCCCTGTACCCATGGGCATCTGCAGGTGACTCTCGTGGATGAGGAGGTGACCGAGGACTGGACAATACGGAACCTGAAAGTCTTCAATGTAAGCACCATACTGACCTCTAAGTGCTTCTCCTCAAGTTACTCCACACATTTCCCCCATCTCAGTCCTCCAGTGCTGCTGTAACACAAAAGCCGTAAGTAGACGGCTTTCACAATCAGAAGTTTACCCTCACACCACTTAGGATGCTACCAATACAAACCCAGAATGCTAGCTCTAAGGAAAAGCTTTCTCTGTGTCTCCTGGCTTGAGAAGTTTCTGAGCACAAGGACCTCATGTCCAAAAGATGACTTTATGTCCGAACTCTTCTTTCTGGGTGATGGTTGGTCCCTCTCGTCTATGCTATATTGCCTAACATCTTTTATTTTCCAAAAGAGATTGGCTCAAGATACACACTACTGCTATAAATTGGTTCCTGTCTTCATTAACATTATAGAGATTAAGATTTACAACACACAAGATTTTTACATCAGGTCACAGAATAGAGAATGATTATGTAATGTTGAGAACTGTGGCCTCACAAAGTTGACCTATATTTTTTGAGGAGACATAATTCAATCCTTAACACCTACCAACCCAGAACTCTCTAATCACACCCCAAGGGACTCCAATTTGAACAAAAATTTCTCAACAAACCTTAGACACAGCCCACTCCGAACCACCCAAAGGTCTTACAGCTATGACTTTCCCTTTCTCCAATCTGTCCTCCTGCTAGATGGATGAACAGAAGACGCTGTCTGTGCGTCAATTCCACTACGTCGCCTGGCCGGATCACGGTGTCCCCCACTCCCCAGACCCCTTGCTGGCCTTCTGGAAAGTCCTCCGCAAGTGGCTGGACCAGAAGGTGGGGGACGGTCCAGCCATTGTGCACTGCAGGTAAGGACCGGCTGAGGACGACTCCCCTTTTGACAGAACTCCTCCCACTTTGGAGGGTCAGATAACAGAGTTACGTGGGTCGCTGAGGACGGTAGAGGAGGTCAAAGAGGAGGAGGGGGGAGAAAAAGGCAAAGCAGGAGGCAAGGAGATTCCAAGGCCTTTAAGGTCTCATGGGGATGTTCTGCCCTGCTCAGTCGGTTGCTGTGAGTCAGCATTCCCTCCACACGACTGGGCTTGGTTGGGTTTCATTTTAAAGTAGACTAAGATGGCTTCGTGGTAAAGAGTTGCACTGCCAACCCAAAGGCACATGGTTCAAATTCACCAGCTGCTCCACAGGAGAAAGATGGGCAATTTTCCCCGCATCCCGTGTGATATACTGCCTCTGAAAACCCACTAGAGGGTTAGCTTTCAGTCAGTCCAACCCAATGCTATGTAACAAGACAGTTTTCTCTGAGTTGTGGAAAAATCTACCTTGCAAATAGGCTGAGAGGTCCCTTGACTGGCTGAATCTCAAAACTTTGGCCCTAAGGGAATCTTTTTTTTAAAAAAATATTGTATTATTTTTACGTGTACTGTCAAATCAGATCTGACTGGTACAGGAGGAGATTGGCCCCTCCTTCTCCAGCAGAGGATCTGGTGGATTTGAACCGCGTACCTCTGGGATTGCAGTGCAGCATCTTGCCACTAGGCCACCAGAGTTCCCTCTAAGGGAATCTTTAAACTTTAAAACTTGAACCAGATATAATCTCCAATGTCTTCGTTAAGCCAAATAAGGCTTTAGTTTGTTAAGTCAATATGTCTACCTTGAACACCGTGCTCTTTTTAAGGAGTCAACTTGATGATTGACAAGAGCAGTTCAGAAGTTTAGATGGGAAGATTTGAGGGGTAGGGAGTTCATGTTAGTGAAGAAAGAACAACTCGGAAAAGGGGCACACAACTTGAAGAATGCAACCAATGCCATCGAAGAAGACATTGTCATGTAGAAATAACGGTTGGATTGGTGGATGCTTGACTGTGCATACTTCCAACAATGAAAAAAAGACAAATATAACAGATGGAGAAGAGAACAGTGATCAAAAAGTTAAGCACGGAACTGTCATATGATCCACCAGTTCCATTCCTGAGTGTATACAGCACACACACCCCCACACACACACTCATACAAATGTTCACGCAGCACTCTTCTCAATAGCTGAAAGAAGGGCACAGCCTGAATTCCCATCATCCAAGGAGTGGCTACATAAAATGTGGTGTACGGGGAGCTCTGGTGGCCTAGTGGCAAGAAGCTGCACTGCGATCCCAGAGGTGCACGGTTCGAATCCATCAGATGCTCTGCTGGGGAAGGAGGGACAATCTCCTCCTGTACCAGTCAGATCTGATTTGACGGTACACACACACAAAAATAATAAAATAAAATTTAAAAAAATGTGGTGTACACACACAGTGAAATATTATTATATCACTAAAAGGGAAAAGAAAGTCCCAATACAACACGGAGGAGCTTTGAAAACATTCTCTGCATGAAATTCATCACATTGACTGGAAACACCTTCTAAGATCCTTTTTCCAAAGAAAGAGGGTCACGTGCACCAGCACCAGGGGTTAGCTGACCACTGTTGACATTGACTTTGACCATGAGGTCCCTGTGTGTGTCACATAAAACTTTTTTCAGAGATAGTTTCCAGATCTTGCTTCTGAGATGCCTCCCAGTGGGCTCAAACCGTCAACCTTTGGCTTAGCATTTGAGTGTGCTAGTTATTTGCACCATCCTTGGGCACCCCATGGGGACTCACGGTGAACATATGAGGACTTGAATGTAGCCTTTTGGAGGGGGGCCACCCAAGCCAGTGAACGACACCCCTCCTGTGGTCTGACCACTTCACGTCTCCACCCAGTGCCGGCGTGGGTCGCACGGGTACCCTCATTGCCCTGGATGTCTTGCTGCGGCAGCTGGAAACTGAGGGTGTCGTGGGGCCCTTCAGTTTTGTGAAGAAGATGAGAGCAAGCCGCCCCCTGATGGTTCAGACGGAGGTAATGGTGTTTCTGAGTGGGAAGGGAGGGTGGAGAGGAGGGGGCGCTGTGGGAGCCCTTGGGGGGACCAGGGTGGAGGCTGCCCCTCAGTCCTCGTGTCCCCTCTCCAGAGCCAGTACGTGTTCCTGCACCACTGTATCCTGAGGTTCCTTCAGCAGTCCTCCACAGCCCCGGCGGAGGAGAGCACGAACGGGGATGTGGGAGACCTCATCTACGAGAACATAGCTGTGGTCAAAACCCAGGAGCAGCAGGCGTCCACGGCGTGAGGGCCAGAGACCCCAGGCCAGCCAGACCCAAACTCTTGGTCTCCCCTTGAGGCCAGAGGCCTGGGGTCCCAGGTTCCCAGGCCTTGCAGAGAAAGGGGTGGAAACCCACATTTCTATTTCCTCACAAAAGAGATTCGGTGGAGTTGAACTCCTGAGGCCTGTGGGAGGTGGAGTGTGGAAATCTGGATTCCAGCTTCCTTGAAGGAGGCAAGGAGTGAGGCCTTCTGTTTCTTTACCAGGCCCTCGAGGAGGAGAAGGCTGCATCCTGGACCTAGAGGATGAGGTCTGGAACTGGGGTTTCTAGGTTCTAGGTAAGAGGGGTGCTCCAGTGGCCTAGAACGGAGTGTTGTGCTGCAAACCAAACAGCTGCATGTCCGTCCAGTGGTTCGAATCTCCCAAGCTGTTTCTCAGGAGAGAGTAACATACATTCTCTTGTGATAATTTACCGCCTTGGAGACCCAGTGGAGAATCACCAGGAATCAGAACCATCAACAGCAGCCAAGTTGAGTTTTTGAGGAAGGAGGGCATTTCCAAACCTTTTGCTCTTGGCTCGGTTCCGACTCTGCTATGGATTGAGTATTTATTCCCTAAATATATGGTGTGGACCCTAACTCCCCAGGTCTGTGGCAGGAGCCCTGGTGGCATGGTGGCTTAAGTATTGAATTGCTGCCTGTACAAAATAATTGGTTTGAACCCACCAGCCAATCCAAGGGAGGAAGGTACAAGGCAGTCGGAAACAGTGAAGATTTCTAGACTTGGAAACCCTACATGGGGTCCCAGATTTTTCTGTAGGGTCCTTATGAGTCAAGTTCAACTCTGTGGTGACGGAGCTGGTTCTGGATTTGATGCCAAATTGGAATTTGGTTATTAATTCCAATTTGGGAGAAGTTTGACTTTGTCATGTCAATGAGGCAGGGTTAGTGTAGGTCGTATCTAGCTTCAGGCTGTTTTGAGATATAAAAAGAGTTTAAACAAGCAAGCAGAGGAGACATGGGGTAGGACAGATGCCAGGACCCGTGAAGATCTCCAGGGAGCTAGGAGACAAGACACCAAAGAGGACCAGGCCCTTGTGAAAGGTCTCCTCTAGAGCTTGTCTTGGACCTCCAGCTAAACTCTTCTGCTCATCAAAGCCACCCACTTGTGCTACTTTTTCTAGGACCCACAATCCCGTTGCTCACTGATTCTATTCTGACCCACGGTGACCCTGTAGGGTAGAGCGGAACTGTCCTACGGGGCTTCCGAGACTGTGACCTTTATGCAAGCAGACAGAGCATTCCGGAACAACTAAGAGAGATTCACAACAACGCAGAACAGACCCCACAGGGCTTCCTGGAGTGCCAGTGAAGAATGGTGAGTGTTCCATCGACTACCAGCAGAACAGACTCGTCTTGGAGAAAGCGCACCTACACGCAGGGCTTTTTGAGAGCCGCGATAGTGAGACCACGCCTCAGACTTGGAGCATGTTATCAGCAAGGACCAATTTCCGTAGATGGACATCATGCTTGAAAAAGTGGAGTATCAGTGAAGGAAAGGAAGACCCTCAGTGAGGCGGATTGGACTGAGTCCAGAGCCGACTCACCAGGACCTAACAAGAAGAGTTCTTAGACAAGCATCTTTCCCCCTTGGAGCGGCTCCTGATTTTGAACTGTGGACCTTTCTGCTGGCAGCCGAGTGTCTAACCACTGTGATACCAGTACTCCTTGAAGAAGGAATTACGAGCCAGAATACCAGCTGCCTGAGGGACAAGGGCAGGCGGGATCCTGCCCAGCCTTAGAAACCAAACCAGTTTTCCATAATCCAGGACTGAAGAGATTCATCCCTCTCTCTCTCTGGGACCCCTGTACCCCATTCTCTGTCCATAGTTTACTGTTTATGTCCTAATTTATTAAATTATGTTCTCCAGGATACTGGTTACCCTGGTGGATTTCTGGATCTGGAAATAATGCTGGCGTTGGAGGCAATGGGGTTTGGAATATTTAGGCACTGAGGCAATACCCTAGAGAAAAGAAGCTACCACTTGCTGTCAAATAGAATCCACCTCCCCGTGACCATGTGGCAGCTTAGAGCTGGGTTCTCTGGGATTTTGCTTTGTTAACTTTTCTCTGTGAGTCGAGCAAGATTTTGCAGAGCAAACTGGGTTTCCTCCCACCAGCTCCTGCACACCAGGTTTCCCTGACATTGACAGGCAGTCCCTACATCGTCACTGTCTTCCCTCGTCCTGTTTCCATGCGTCCTTCTCTCCTGCCCCTTCCTGCCTTTATTCTGAGCTTTACTCCTGGGCTGTCCTCTCAGTCGTATATGTTCTTGATCCACTATTTGGGTGGAAGCGCAGCCATGAGTGACTGAGTGAGTGACCCCAGTTCCAGGTTTGGTGGGTTCCTCCAGGTCACAATGCCTGGTGTCCTGCCCACCTGTATCACACCTACTGGTCTTTCCCCATAGTTTTCAATGTCTGGGGGGTTTGTTTTGGAAGTAGACCAGTAGGTCAGCCTTCTGAAGCACCTCTGAGTGGACAGCAGCTTCCAGCTTTTTGATGAGCAGTCCAGTGTACTGGCCCCTTGCACCACCCAGGCGAGGAATCTCTTATTGCTGTCAGTTGCCATCGGGTCAATTTTCAATTCCTAACAACCCCACCTGACAGAGAACTTCTGTGTAGGGTTTTCTGGGTTACTATCTTTTTTTAAAATTTGTTTTTTATTTTGTGTGTGTGTGTGTGTGTGTGTACCATCAAATCGGATCTGATTGGTACAGTAGGAGATTGTCCCTCCTTCTCCAGCACAGCATCAGGTGGATTTGAATCACACTCCTCTGGGATTGTAGCACAGCTTCTTGCCATCAGGCCACCCGAGCTCGCCTGGGTTACCATCTTTATGGGAAGGTTCCGGGTGGAGCAGAGGTCAAGGGATTCCGCTATTAACCAAAAGGTTAGTGGTTGGAATCCATGAGCCACTCCTCTGGAGAGCAATGAGGCATCCAGCTGTGGTGGGCAGCTTTGGAAACCCTGTGAGAAGCTCTGCTCTGCAGGGGCGCCGGGAGTCAGAGGCTGACTTTGGTTGCTCGATTTGACATCTCTGAGGAGTAGAACTCAGGTCCCATTCCCACCTTCCCCTTCCTCTAAAGAATAACTGGAATTGCTTCTTGGCCTTTTGGCTAAGATCAAGTGTAGTATCCGTTCTTATCAGTTTAATATCAGCTTTGTCCTCTATCCGAGGACAATATATTAAGTGGATTTTTGGAACTAGGAAATGGAATTGCAGCTGGCTCCATCCACTCCATGCACCCACCTGGTGGTATGGCAGTACTTCCAGGAATAATGGTGCACACAACACACACACACACACACACACGAGTCACTGGATGAGTTCAAACTCAAATCTTCTGGTTCAAAGTCCAGTACCTCATAGTTGCAAAACTAAAGTGCAGTGCAGTGCAAATGTAGGTTCTTATCAGCTGAACGTTTCAAAGTCTAGGTGTGAATGGTCTGAATGATGTGGATGAGACTTTTGGAGTTAGAGGTGTGGGGGCTTCCCTGCTGGGACAGGCTTTAGGGTTCTTGTAGGGAGAGCTCGGTGTCACTGGAACCAATGGGTTGGTTTCTCTGTGAGTTTTCCATCTGTAGTAACAGGGTATCTTGTTGTCCGGGTCACCTGGGACCAGGTATGGTGGCGCTTGTTGGTCCGGATACCTGGGTCTCCAGGGGGAGTTTCCTGCATTCATCACCAGGGTCAGGTATCCAGGCGTCTGGTTCCTGTGGCCTCAGGTGGGCGCCCTGTGTGTGGCCCAGGCAGCAGCAAGCAGTGGGGACGAGGACAAACACCTGAGAAATGCCATCGTGGTTCCTGGCTGGGGAAAGGGCAAGAGGAAGGGGTCTCCCCGCCTACCCAAGGGGGGCACGGAGACACAGACGCACATATACACAGAGGCGCGCGCGCGTGCACACACACACACAGGCGCACGCGT